GTGTGCTTGCCAAACAAATGGTTAATGTGTTACGTGTAAGTAAGCATGATTGCACATGTATTTGTATTGACATCTCAACCATAAAAAACAAACATGTGCAACAACTAAACTCTCCATATAACACCTTACACATAACACTACTGCACTGGTAACACATGCATCACAGTCACTAAGCCCGCGCGTAGCGCGGGTTTCAGCTAGTATTTATAACTAACGTAAAATTGTCTGTGCGTTAAATGTTAGGTCCTAGCTTACGTTTATAATTTGCAGGAATTTTTGCTCAGCCGTAGTATCTGTCGCTGCTATAATTTATAATTCATTATTGTCACTCACTCGTTTAATTGAGGTTTTTACGAAATGCTTATGAAAAACCAGTTAGGAAAAACGAATTTGGAAGTTTTAACGTGTTTATAATAGAAAAGCTGTCATCCTTATCACTAAGGCTAACCCTATCACTAAGTGTGAGATGGCGAGCGCATGCGAGCTGGAAAGAGAGGGTGAGAGAGCGCACGCCCGCGAGATTGAGAGGCGAGCAGATAGGGCGGGAGAGAGTGAGAGAAATACACATATAGTGAGACAGAGAGGAGAGAGACCGGGAGACGAAGAGAGCGGGGAGGGAGGGAGAAACGAAGAGAGAGAGAACAGAGGAAGATAGTGAAACGAAAAGAGAGGGTAAGAACGAGCATTAGAGAGAGAGAGAGAGCGCGCGCGAGCGAGAGAGAGATAGTGCGCGTGAAAGAGCGATAAAGAGATGTAGACAGATGGAAGATTGCATGCCTAAGAATAAACATGCGCGGACGCATGCACACACAGAAAGGCGATGGATAAGAGCGGGGAAAAGGAAAGGTGTGTGTGGGAGAGAGAGAAGGAAGCGAGAGGGGAGGAAGACAGAGAAAAGATAGGACGGCAGAGAGGAGAAAGAGGAAGGCAGTGAGGCGAGAGAGGGGACGGCAGAGAGGAGAGCGAAGAAGGCAGCGAGGCGAGAGAAAGCAGAGGGGAGAGAGCAGAGAAAAGAAGGCAAGGAGGAGAACGAGGAACGCAGCGAGAAGAGAGGAAGGGAGAGAGAGAGAGCGCGAGTGAGAGAAGCACGAAACCGAACAAGTTTGGGTTTAAGAATTAATTAAATAATCTAACCTAATTCTTTATTGAATTGTATGTTATTGTGTATCAGATAAAACGAGCATTTATTATCTCTCTAGCCTGCCAGTATGTTCAACATGTAAACCTCGCATATATAATTGAATCACTTGGACTTTCGTCACGCCGTGACGGGCTTCGCGAGATACTGCTGTATAATTCGCGGTGGTTTAATTTTTGCGAATTTCGCGGACGCGTCCTCGGCCGCGAAAATAACAACACGCGAATAATGCATACCGAATAATACTGAATAATTCATAATTCACCGACTGCGAAATTAACCACTCGCGAAATTGCCCGTCAAGTCTGAATTCGCGAAAATATCTGTACGCGAAAAATACGGCTTATACAGTATATCACGGTCAGTATACACGTGGCCCGAAGAGTCCCCGCCATGTTATCTCTGTGTTTTTGTCGTCAAACTGTGAGAACTTCGCATCATAATTACAGCTAACGTGAGTAAATAAATATATAGGAATTCGTCCTCAACTGAAGCTTCCGTAGCTGTTATAATTTCATACTTAATTCATGTCGTTTACTTGTTTAATTACAGCATACAAATGGATTAATCAGGATAACACACATACCTTAATGAGTTAAATTGTAAGTACCCTTTTCATGCGTTATACAACACGCGCAGATTATGAAATATAAATTCACTACGCGACTTGTCGAGCTTATTCGGCGATACATATGATCATACGATTCCTGTGATTATACGGATTATGAGGCCACGCTATTCACGTTCGTATAGTGTATATATGCAGTGCTCGAAATGAGAAAAAAAATGTGGTTGTCCTGCAGACAACCCCGGCATCAAATCGGGTTGTCCGCGACAATTTCTGGTTGTCCCAAAAAATGTCTCCAAATCTCCTATTTTCAATCACATAATAATATGATCAGAAAACACCCAAAAACAGTGGCGTAGCCAGGATTTTTTAACAAGGGGGGCCAAAAACAGCGAACTGCGCAAAATAGTGGATGACTTAATATTTTACTGGCTCCTCCGCCTCCCTCTCCACACCCTACGGCTCCTCTACCTCTCAGCTCTGCAATCTTTGTTTTGGGCGCCATGCGAAAAGGCGACATTTTTGTTCATTGTTCTCTGCTCCCAAGATATGTAATTGTTCAGTGGCAGGTCTAGGATTCCAAGGAGGGGTGGCAGCCTAAAAAATACTTTTTTTATTACAAGAGCTCTTTTTTGATTTTGTATGAAAAAAAAGAGCTCTCGTAATTTTGTTTACGGGAGCTTGGCCAGAGCTACTTTTTCATAGCATGATTTTGTTAAAATTTTCATAATTTTGACGCACTGACTCTAATAATGTCTCAGAAGCCAGAAATTGTGTCGAATTATCGTAAAGGTGTTTCCCAAACAAAAGTCAAGATGATGCTTTGGCGAAATCNGATCCAGATCATCACCAAAATCTAATCGATTGCGTTCGTGGCCCAAGACCACCCGCTCCAAAAATTCATCAAAAAATCCGTCCGTAACTTTATAGCTGCCGTCTACACGGACGAACCTTAACTCGACGTTAAGCCGTTCCTACACGCGGTCCTTAACTCGAGTATAGGTAACCGAGTTACGTTAACTCGACGTTAGCTTAACCCGCCAGTCGGATCGAGGTTGGCTAACTCGACGTTAACGGCCGTGAGACGCCTTTAACTCGAGTTAGCTTAACCTCCACGAGTAGGCGCGCAGCACTAGCTACGATGTACGTACACACGCCACGCCCGCATCGCTATCGGGTCCTGTTGCTCGTGTAGAGCTCTACATAACGCTAACTCGAGTTAGGTTCGTCGTGTAGACGCCTACCATAACCACTAACTCGAGTTAAGCTTAACTCGAGTTAAGGTTCGTCGTGTAGACGTAGCTTATGAGATATCCTGTTGACACACAAACCAACAAGCCAACAAACACACAAACAAACAGGGGCGAAAACATATTGTTATCACAAACCCTATCGCTATTGTTAATTTGTTATGCGATTCGCTTGATGTCACTGCGACGCTATTTTACACTGCGTCGCTGCACGTCCGGGGTCTGAAGAAAATGACAACGCGTATAATATATAGCATATAATATCACGACAAACGTTTTAAATAATTTATATATTAGAAACAAGCGGTCTGTGCTAGCACGATAGGTGCGGTTTTACTGGATTTCGAGTCAATTAAAATTTAGAGAATGTGACAAGAGGATCATCGGCTGAAACTCAAGGGATATTATAGTTGGCGTAACGTCGCTGGTCGCCATTTTCTCCACAAGGTCTGAAAGCCATCTAGCGAAAAATTAAGATACACCGGGTCAAGCCCCAGGTGTATCCCGATCGAATATATCCATCTCGATTTCTGAACCCGATGGAGGGCAATAACCTCCACATTTGCGCGACTTTTATACATAGCTGGTCGATATACCACCAGCCTATGGGAAATAGACTAGTTCTCGTTACTGTACGCGTCAGCCACAGAGAGATATGAAGAACCAGAGGCTACCATTATGATTATATATACCGGTAAACCAGCCCAAACAAGTTAACGCACAATTTACTATTAGTCCCCATGCACTTACTCTCGAAACTTTAGGTTCAGATGCATCAAAAGGGTTCTCACAACTTCGTGTATCAAAACCATTCATGTACGAATGAAAAGAGGTCATCACTGAGTCCGCCTTCTAAACTCATTATGACAATGAGTAATTATCATGATATATAATTAGTAGTGTTAACCTACCTATAGAAATACCAGGAAAAATATGTAATAATTGATGTCGCCAGGAACAACGTGGACATGATTACTCCCGATAGGATTCTGATCGCATGAGCATGCACGCGCAATATCACAACAAACACTCGTTACCTAGATCGTAGCCTAGATATATACTTTATATGTGTTAGGGTATATAGCATGCCGTATGATGTCATGACAACGTTTAAATCATGTATGTAAGTGCGCTTATCACACCATCACATCATACCGTCCGTGGTATGACCGTGGAAGTCCGTTCATACGGAATAACGATTGACAACTGCAGATAACCTGCGCTTATATAACAACCAACAAGATTTCCGTAAGATTGTAAATGTTCGACAATAGTCGGAATAGAAAGATCAATGAAACGTATTTTGCATATACGTATCTTGACCTTTTTTTATATTATTATATACATATTAAATACGACAAATTCACGATAAACGTGTACGAATCGTTAAAACAATTTAATTTCTTTTTATCAATGTTAGGACGACACGGTTCGGCGAGGGTTAAACATTGATACCAGCTTATTGCCTAAACAGATCATAGATACGTCAAGCAGCCGATACGTTCAACGTTGAACTGTTAATGAATTCGCTTCTTGCGTTCACGGGAATAGAGCGCGTCACCGGAGCGAACATTATGTATATTATCCGAGTCCGGACGCGAGTATACCTGAATGCCCGCCCGAGCACTGAACAATAGAGTACTCTATCTAAAATCCGCGCGCGAATATTGATGTGCGAATTAAAACGCGAGATGAACTTTGCGTCAGGATGACGCGATAAAGAAGACGACCGCTGTTTCTGCAGTCTTTGTTCTCCGTTCTATGCGGTCAATGCTTCCATTTGGAACCACTAATAAGTTAGTTGTTAAAAGTTAGTTAGGTGTAATCTTTTTATTCGCTCGCAGTCAGTCTCGTATTTGATTTAAACGATATTTTAAGTCACCGTCGTGTCGAGTTCGTAGTACATCCAGTCGACTAGCGTTTGGTTGACGTCACCTCCGGTGCGCGTGCTGACGTACATCCGGCACTCGCGCGTCTGCTCGTTATAACTAAAAGCTCGGCAGGCGGGGGAGGTCGGCTCCTTGGCGCAATACATCGAACAGATAAGCATGCTTCTTGCCGTGACGAGTCTCCCTGCTCCGGACTGATCGACCAGGTCTGGACCGACGTAATGATAGGACTGCTCAGTCGTCGCTGCGTATAAGCAAAGGGAGCAGCTTTTTTTATTTTTACGTTTTTATACTTATTTTTACGGATTATATTTAAGAAAGTAAAGTTTTTGATCGAGTAAGTAGTATAGTATAGTGCAAGCTACCGATTGCATCTTGAAAGGACGCGTGCACGCGCACTCCCACACGCATGCACGCGCGCAGGTACATGCACACGCATCCTCGCACACACACGGTCGTACACACGCGCACGCATGCACACACGGTCACACGCCCGCGCACGCTCGCACACACGGTCACACACACGCGCACGCAGGCACATACGGTCACACACGCGCGCACGCATGCACATACGGTCGCACACCCGCGCACGCACGCATGCACACACGCGCACGCTCGCACACACGGTCGCACACACGCGCACGCATGCACACAGGTCGCACACGCTCGCGCACGATTGCACATACGGTCACACACACGCGCACGCATGCCACACACGGGTCGCACCACACGCCAGGCCATGCCACACACGTCACACACACGCGCACGCACACATGCACAACACGGTCGCACACACGCGCGCACGCATTTGCCACAACGCAGGTCGCACACGCGCGCACGCATGCCAAACCACGCATGTATGATGCACTATTTAACGACGAGATTAACTACGTCTATATGTATATGAACTATTACCGACGCACGTGACTCCGTCGCCCGACCAGCGACCGTTACACTCGCAGCGGAAACTGCCGACGGTGTTCAGACAGGTGGCGTTAGGATCGCAGTCGTGCAGGGCTGCATTGCATTCATCCACATCTAGTGTAACGGTAATCACAAAACGCTGTCAGTATGAGGAAAACCCTGCCAGCTTTGTGTGTGCATTCTGATATTTGTATAATGCTGCTTGGGATATTGCTTTTGACTCGCCCTGCGTTCTCTGCATGCTTGCATAGTGTGAGCTGCGCATGCAGCGCGCGCCGCGCGCCGCGCGCGCGCGCGGTGTTTGTGTGTGCTGTGTTTGTGTGTTGTGACGTGCTGGTGTGTGTGTGTCGTGTGTGTGTGTGTGTGTGTGTGTGTGTGTGTGTGTGTGTGTGTGTGTGTGTGTGTGTGTGTGTGTGTGTGTGTGCGTGCGTGCGTTTGCGTGCGTGCGTGTGCGTGCGTGTGCGTGCGTGCGTGCGCGCGCGGGTGTGTGTGTATATGTATGTGTTTCATACACCACCATATCATGTTTTGGTGCTGGTCATTGTTGACAACATGCATGACAGGCATGCTCTTCATGAACCGATAGTGCTTTACACAAGAAATGTCTATGCTATGAAATGGAACCTCTTCTTCCACGGCAGCGTTGTCTATAACGATTAACGCGTGTCCGTTCACCTGCTTTATTCACTCATAGTTATAAAGACCCGGCACGCTGCCTTCGTATGAATTAAACCTACTCCGAGTTTTTCACCGATTTTTTTGGGCGACGGCGTTACCTGCATCGGTAAGAGTCATATAATAACAGCTCGCTATAGCCGGTACGGCGCATACATTTTGTAGCAATGGACGTGCTTGCTTGCAGGTGATGAAACGCTACTCTCTGTCCCTCTAACAGTTAGTTCGCTTAGTCTACGCTGCCATGCATCTATAGCATAATCGTCTATAGTTCAGTATAGTAGCCAAATGTTCTGAGATTATATTTAACTACATTGTGTGATCGGTTGCCGCGTTAACAAAGCATATATACACGCATTATACATAGTCGCTGTTGACGAATGCGCCACCAACCTGGACAACTGCAGTGCAACGCTAACTACCTGTACAGACACGCCCGCTGGATACACGTGCGCATGCGTCACCGGATCCACACTACTGT